GGACACAATTCATAGCCTTCAATTGAATATTGAAGTAGAACAGACTAAGACCAGCTGAGGAGGGGACCTGTACAATACTAGCACATGTGAGCCTCTTTACATTTCTTTAAAGTCCTGACTTTGAGTCTTGTGTTTGCATATTAGGTAAGTATAGCCTCTATTTTTCATTTAAAAAAGTTGTAATTTATCTCCGGAACATTTTCTCACTGATTTGTTATTTTAGACATATTTTCAATGTATATTCTCTGACCAGATACTGAAAAAAGCCAAGACTAAGTTTAGTTTTTTGTGTTTGCCTATGATGGGATATTTCTATATTGTATGACATTTCTAATAGCATAGAGAATGACCTGTTTTATTTAAAAAAAAAAAACTTTATGGTCAAACTTACTTGAATCTTTAGAGCAATTAGACTGGGAAAATGTTCTGTCTTGATAGTGGTTATATTGGAACAGATTGTGAAAAGTCATAATGATGTAATAGTAATAGTGATGCTAAAAGCAAAGTTCTTGGAGTACATTATTTCATTTATTCCTCAGAAAGACCCACTGAGGCAAATATTCTTTCCCTTCTTTCTTCCTGTCCTCAAACTTGTCCAAGGACTTCATGGTAATTAGTGAACAAGGGTTTGAATCTGACCCCATGACCCTACAGATGAGTACTCAACCTTTCTCTCTGTCTTTATTTTCTGTCCAATGCTTGTGAAATTGCTCCTCAGTATGATTTTAATTAAACTTTTAATTCTGAGAATTTTATAAATTCACATGCAGCAAGATGCCTTTTATTCTACCAGACACCTAGAGTAGACTCATCTTGCAAAGCTGTGATACTGAATCAAAACCAGTATGTTGACATTGATACTGTGAAGATTCAGAGCATTTCCATCACCTTGAAACATCCCTCCTGTTGCCATTTTATAGACACTTTTGCCATCCTTCTTCCTGACTGCACTAATCTTCTGAGCTTCGGTGATATGAGGAAGGAGCCTGCAGCACTGTAAACTTTGGGGAGTGGTGTTTCTGTGTCCTGCAGAACTCTAGAGGTTCATTTAGGTCACTACACAGATCAATAGACCATTTTATGCCCAAGTACTGTGCCACGTAAGGGTGTGTTTCAGTTAATATTTCTTGTTTGTTTGTTTGTTTGTTTTTGTCCTTTTGGTACCAGGGATCGAACTTGGTTTCTTGCATTTGCAAGGCAAGCACTGGGAACCACTGAGCTAAACCCTTGGCCCCAATATTTACTTGTTGATGGACACTTTGGTTATTCCCTGTTTGGGACTGACACAAATAAAGTTGAGAGGAATATGTCTGAAAAAGTTTTTTAGTAAATATATCTTGGATATTTCCCAAGAATGCGAATACTGTAATATATGTTAGTTTTGCATTTGGTTTTATAAATTAAATTGTTAAACCTTTTCAGAGTAGCTAATAGTTGTATGTATATGTATGTATGTATGTATATATATATATATATATATATAGATACATATATATATGTATAAGTTTTTTTTTAACAGCACTTACATTGAAATTTCTGCTTGCCACAAGTGACTCTAAAGGTCTGACATCAAAAGCAATCTGCATTTGTTTTGAAAATGGATTTTTAAAGCCACTTTTTACTGACTAGATTCACTAGTAGATAAGCCCAGTGTTCTGCCCTGCTTTTCATTCATAATGAGATTTTTCATCTTTCTCTATTCATTACTCCATGTTAAAAGAACATACATTTCCTAGGATTGTTAATAGTTATTAATAAAGCAATGCCTACTTTTATAAGTTAAAAGCTGCACCTAATTAATTTGACCTCCAGTAAAACCTTCTGTGTGTCCAGTAATGTCTTGAGGATGCTGGTTTGTCTGTAAGTGAGCACAGGAGCTGTGGTATCAAAGCAGCCATTTATGTGTGTCGTTTTGTTCTGCTACAGTTTGTTTGTAGATATTTTCTTCATAAGTAACCATTGTAAATAATTTTTGTAATCATTTAGTATCTCAAAACAGTGGATAGGTTATAGCCTTTCCATGGAACAATAGCAAGAATATTTGATTTTTAACTTTTATGCATCATAATAATAATGATAGTAATAATCAATTCATTGCTGATGACTGTTGAATTTTTCTTTTAATGTGTTTTTCCACATGACATCTAGAATTAGCTATTTGATTAGTCCTATGGTGTTTTACTTTTTTTCATTTATTGACTCAGATTTTCTTCATTAACTTTTCATGTGACCTTATTTTATTTTGCTTTTATAGTCCTTTTGATGGCTGTGATTTCTGTTTACACATAGTTCAGGAATGAAATTTTTACAGTTTTAAAATATTTCTTTGGCCAGGCAAAAAAGACCTTTAATGGTGTTAAAAAAGTCTTGATACTGCGTTATCTTAGTTCGCCTTCTGTTACTATCACAAACTTCCTGAGACTGGGTGATTGATAAAGAGGTTTGTTTAGCCTACGGTTCTGGTGAAGGCCTTGTGCTGTACAGAAAAGTGGAAAGGGGAAATATGCACAGAAGTACACTTCTGTGATGGGGAGGGAGGGGAGGCAGACCTGATTTAACATGGCCTCCTCTCACCACAACTGAGCCAGTGCCCTGGCCTAACTTGCTCCCCTGTGCACATATCCAGTCTCAAGTCTATTCATGAGGGCAGAGACCCCTTAGGCCAAGGATCTCCCCATAAGCCTCCCTTCTCAAAGACTCCAGCTCTGCTCCATACTGTTACACTGGACACCAGGCTTTCAGTGCAGAAGCCAAGCCATGTGCAAATCCTAGCACCTCTGTGAAGCGAGCACGTGATGCTCTTTCAGTCTTGGCACCATGGGCACTTTGGGGCCGGGTGATTCCTTATTGCGAGAGTCTGTCCTCTGCGTCAAAGTATATCTTTCCACGTCCCCAGTCTCTCTACCCACTGGATGCCATTAACACCCTTCCCTGCAAATGGTGACACTTAAACATCCCAGATGCTGTCCCCTGGGGACAAGTGTCCCCTACTGAAAGTCACTGAACTTGGATGAAGTATGGCTGAGAAGAAGGTGGCGCCTCCCACAGTGCACAAGAAATCTGCTTCCACACGTAGACCCTGGTGCATACCAATCGAGCAAGCTAATTTAAGCTAAGTAATAAAAGAAGCAAATTTTCTCTGTCTGTACCGTAGCTTTGACCCCAACAGATGAGCTAGGTATTCAGGGTGTTCCGTATCATTAGACGCTGTATCCTGGAGCTGGGATCTAGGAACAGTTCTAGCTGGCTATGCTTCAGTCAAGATATGATTCAGACATCAGCTGTTTATCTGAGATCACACTTAATGTTTAGGTTTTCTAGACCACTGGACTAAAACTTCTGATACAACGTGGCATGCGTTTATCTTCCATTCTCCTCACTTTGTTCCAACAGGTTCTGGGTCTTTTCTCAACCCTGCTCCTAAGCAAAATGTAGCATTCTAGCGTGCATTCCTTCTCATCGCCTCTGTGTGACAAGGGAGTGAATCTCCTTACATATTTTGAGCCTTAAAAAATCATGATAGGTTCCTGATTTACCCTCCTTAATGTGATCTGAATTTGAGTAGCCCTAAGAAAGGATGAGTTGAGTGGACATTTTTAGTTGGGACGAGACCACTGACTGAGGTGTTTTTGGTCCAGTCAGCTCTTGCATGCTTGTAGCACATTATAAAGTTGTATTTTGTTGGCACCTGACAATGCAAATTGTGACTTCAAAAGACTAGGAAGTCGTTTATCACACTGAGATAGAAACCAGTCTGGTATTTCACAGTGAAGCACTGAGTGAATAACAGACAAACTTGGTGGGCCTTGTGAGGCACCAGGTGTAAGTGTGGATGCGCAGCTTCCTGTTCCTAAGAGAAACCTCTGAACTACCTTTGATGTCTTTCTTAAATTTCTGTGCCACCTGTGTCCTGTGAAATCATCAAATCTCAGGAGTTTTATTTCTTTGAACATCTCTTGAATATTCCTGTCACTTTTTCAGTGGATGTTTGGATAGTGAGAGACTCTTTTAGCTGAGTGACTCTCTCCAGGCCCCAGCCACGGCCAGACAAATTGTTTTAAGCACAAGTTTTGGTGAATCACAAAATTCTCCTGGACCCTCCATACTTGGCTCTCTCTTTTCTATTTAGCTTTACCTTCTAGTAAAATAAACCTCTTTTCCAGCATGCAAAGTTGTTTTTTGCTGATTCCTGTGGCTTACTGGTCTGTGCTTATGTTTATGATTTTAGTATTACATGGAATGAAAATATTTCTTCCTGCCACCTGATCAATTTTTACTGTTCAGCAGAAGCCTTCCTCCTGCACAGAACTAAGTACCCATAACTCATTTTCTATTAATCACTACTTCCTTTTATTTTTAAAGCACTGAGTGCAGGCATTAACCAACAAGTGAGGATGAATACATCCTTATTTTGGCCTTTAGCGATGTAAAGCTTTGTTCAAAATGATAGCAGTTTATATATACATTTTGCCACCTACTTCAACTAATTAGTAAATCCCTGAAAGATGATATTTTGTATTTTTTACATTTCAAGTAACATATTATTATGTGCCTAACAAGTACATAGTGGAGACTTAGATTGCCAGCTGGTGAGGCATTGACTGTGTTCTGATTCTATTTTAAAGCCACAACCCGGAGACACAGAAACTGATGCCATCATGTGCAGCCCCGTGTTTAAGTACAGAACTTTAGGGTGTCAGAGAAGAGAGGTTCCTTAGATGGAAAGCTCAGGGTGGTGCCTTGCAAAAGGAAAATCAGACTGCGGTTTGTAAAGGAGATCTGATTAACTGATTTGTGAGCGATACATGAATTTGTGTGCAGTGTGAGATATCTCTCCATGTGAGCCGCTTCAGCAATGTGAATGAGTAATCGGAACATAGTAGTTGATGTAAGTCATAAGGCGTTTGCAGACGGAATTTTAAGTGACTTGGATTTTCTTCTTTTCAAACCCCCAGGTAGGTGGCTCTTGCCACTGCCTACGTGGACATTTGAAAGGGCCTGCATTTAAGACTTGCAAACATGGAGACTTCTTCAATGCTTTCCTCGTTGAATGATGAGTGTAAGTCTGACAACTACATTGAGCCTCACTACAAGGAATGGTATCGAGTTGCTGTTGACACCCTGATCGAACATGGATTAGAGGCATACCAAGACTTTCTTGTCAAAGAACGTGTTTCAGACTTTCTAGCTGAGGAAGAAATTAATTATATTCTGAAAAATGTCCAGAAGGCTGCGCAGAGTACCACGCATGGAGCTGATAATTCTGGTGATGACAACTCATCTTCCGGAACGTACTGGCCCGTCGAGTCTGATGTGGAAGCTCCCAATCTTGACCTGGGCTGGCCTTATGTGATGCCCGGACTCCTAGGGAGTACCCAGGTAGACCTCCTCTTCCATCCACCGAGAGCACAACTGCTTACCATAAAGGAAACCATTCGGAAAATGATCAAGGAAGCAAGAAAGGTAATAGTATTTCTTCCTTGAAATGAGAAATTTTGAAATGTGGAAAACTAACGTGCGTCGTGTAACAGATATGTATGTCAATAAAGAACTGCTACATGTAAGGACCAGGTACCTTGGTTTTAGGAACGAAAAGTGTGGCTTCATAAGAAGCTAGTACTTTGCATATGTAGCATGGACCTGGGGGAGAGGCAGTAGGTCCCAGCTCTATGTGGAGAGATCCCTCTCTTCAAAATGTACCCAAGGGCTAATATCTTAGCCCTTGAAAGTCAAGATATGTGGACTCAGAGGGCCGGGGATTTAGCTCAGTGGTACAGCAACTGTCTCACAACCACAAGGTCCTGAGTTCAATCCCCAGTACAAAAACAAAACAATAAGGACTAGGGATTTAGCTCAGTGGTTCCACTGTCTGCCTTGAGAGCACAAGGTCCTGAGTTTGATCCCTGGTACCAAAAACCAACCAACCAAATAAATAAATAAATGTGGACTTGGAATAAAATGATTTGATGTGGTCTTAAATTTAAAGTACTTAAAGTTTTCTTTATTCTCTAAAAATAAATATTTTGGTGAATGTGGTGAAATTTTCCTTGTTCTCAATAGGACTAATTGTGGTTTATGTGATTACATAAACTATGGTTTTATTAATCTGCTTTCTGAGTTATGTGGAAACTGTATAAAAAGCAAGATGATAATTTAATACTATAAAATAATGACCTCAGGTATCGAGGACCTTGGTGCTCTTTATAAAATATTTATATTGCCTTATAAATCTCACAAGTCCTATTGCAGAGCTCAGATAAAATTGCAGAAATATTCCTGTAGTCAATCAGTAACAGTCATTGACAGTTTTATATATATATATATCCAGCATCATGGAAGACACTTTGGTGAATACAATAGAGTTTCCCAAGCTCAATTTAGAGTTTTAAAATGTTTGAAGGAAATATTATGATATTTAATTAGAGTATCTATTAGTAATGGAGACTGGCTGGTAAACACATTTACATCTACACAGGACTTGAGGCGGCATTTGACAGTATTTCTTTCTTCCATTTCACTCATAGAAATTATGCAATATGGAAATAATAAGATCCAGTGTGGTTCATGTGACAGGTAACTAAAAGTCCAGCCATCAGTTTAGGGAGACACAATGTGCCGACACTAATGTCAGGTGAAGGCTTTGCAAGTGTAGGCTGGTTTTACCCCTGAACCTTTTGAAATCAAATAACCAGACTTTTCAGCTGGTATTAATATCTTGAATACTAGTATGTTACTGCTTTATTCCTACTCTATTCTGCTCTATTCCTACTGTTAAACATTAAAGATGGAATCCGACATAATAGTTGACCAAGCTTTATTGAATGGTTTCAAATGTTAATTCAAGTTTCTACATTGAACCATGAGGTTTTAAAAATTGTGTCTGTGTACAAAAATAGTTGTATTTTATAAAAGAACAGAAAACTCAAGAATGCATAAGAGTTCTTTTAAAGGGGAAATAATAAATATATATTAACATTTAGTGATTTTTGTTTTTTATTTCTTTGGCGTGTGGGGAGGGGCGCTGTGGATTGAACCCAGGGTCTTTGCACTGAGCTGCATCCTCTGTCATTTAAAAATTTTTATTTTGCGACAGAGTCTCACTAAATTGTTGTATCATTGGGTTGGAAACTTGTAGCCCTCCTACTTCAACCTCGCACAGTGCTGAGATTGTAGGCGTGTGTCACTGTGCCCAGCACCTTTGTAGTGTTTGTTAGAGGACACACAATATGCTTCTGAAAGTCATTAGTGACACAGAGCCACGTACTGATCAGCTGTCCCACAGATGCCCAGGAGAAGGTGAGGGTAGGAGAATGCGCTTCCCGGGCTCCAGCTGCATCACATATAGGGCTGGGGTGGGAAAGCTGGAATGTGTAGCAGGCAGGTGAAGATCATTACGATGGTAGATGGTGAACTTGCATTTATGTGGTCATCAGCCTGTTTCCTTTGGGGCATCACAGTCAAGGACGCAAAGCAGACGTAATTCAGGAGGCGGTATTACATTTGGGGGCTAGCACTCCCTGGAAACCGAACATTAGTCATGGCTTTTTGGTGTATTTTTCTTTGCAAAGGCATTGTGTGTTGAGTGAATCTCTACAAGTAACATCATCCCCAGCCACTGTCTGCTGGGAGCTCCCTTGAAATGGCAAGTGGAGGAAACTGAAGAATTTTCTGTAGAACAATGTAAAGTTTTGCGTCTCTGCTATAACATCAAAATGACATCAAATAAGATGTAGACTGCTATATACACATACATATCTAAGCTGAATTAAAAAAAGATTTGGTCTAATCGAGTATAATGCAACTAAATATAAAGCATAGCATGTAGTTGTGTTGCTGTCTTTTCAAAAACATTGAAGAATATGCTAGTTTTTACCCAAATGCAATAAATATTGAGGGTGAATGGGAGGCATATTTATCAAATATTTTGGGAGTCCCTTCATCTGTCACTTATCTATTTAAAGATTTTTGAAGAATCAAATACTCTGGGCAAAATTCATTGACTCAGTTTATTTTTTAAAAAATTAAGATGGTTTAGCCGATAACAAGAAAAGGCCCTGTAAAGAATTTTAAAGTAAGGGCAAATATTATTATGAAATAAGAACTTGTCGGAATATGTTGCTTTTTGAATAGGAAGCTTGGTTTTCAAGACTATCATTTACTCAACAGAAAGTCACGTTCTGTTCTTATCCCGCAGAAGGAAGATAAACTTTCAGGTTTTGAATCTTTTCCCAAGGATACATTCTTTTTATAGATGATTTAGTGGATATGTCTGAATAAAGTGGACGATCTTTCTTTTTCAGGAAGTATTCGAGTAAGATAGAATTAATGGATAGAATAGTTTCTCAAGGAGATTCCTTTGGTAATCAGCATTGTAAAACTCTGCGAAAATATGAGGCCAGACAAGTAAGGATAAGAACTGGTAAAGAAGAAACCAAGAAGAGATCTCAGAAAAGAACAAAGGCATTTCACTGTTCTGTTTCCACTTGAGATAAGGCATCAATGGAAATAAATTTTAAATTAATTAAAAGAATCCAAAAAGACTACGTTTGGGTTCTTTTAATTGCTGTGAGGTCTGATTGTGAAATGCCAGGTTAACCTTCTTGTACCTTGAGAAAGGAGTTAAAAATAATGCTATATCTCATGTAACTTTGCTGGAAATAGTCTAAATTTTTTCTGTACTGGTGATTGGACCAAGGGCCATAGACTTGCTAGGCAAGTGCACACTCACTGAGCTACATACCCACTTGATCCCTGAAAAATTTTTTTTTTAATATCACTGTTACCCTCCTGTTCCTAGTTTAAGTTATACTGTTTATGAATCATTTTCTTTTATAAATAGAAGTTGCTTTTATGGTATTTTAAAAACTTTACCCTTTTAATCACTTACCCATATTATTTTTGGTAATTGTCCTTTAGTCATTGTTTCCAGGCTTTTCTCCCCTTTCCTTTGCATTTTGTTTGAGAATTTTCCTTTGGGAGAGTCCATTTATAGATACTATCCTGCATGTGCCCTAAAGGAACATATTTTAATTTATTCAGTTTTTTAGGCTCTATTTTTTACTGTGTGGTTGATGTAATTACATTGGGTCAGCTTCATAAAGTCTGATAGGGTCTAGCAAGACTTTCTCCCAAGTAATTACTTGTCTCTCAAGGAATGTTCCCAAGGTGATATATGCATGCATTCCTAGTTACTGCGAACTCCTCTTATGAAAACATCCCCTCTAATTACTTTAAAAAGTCATCTTTCATTAAAGTGATTTTTTTTCTACTCCCTCAATGGCACCTACTCACCAAGTACGACTTCTGCTCGCATCGAGAATGGAAACATTTAATCAGAATATTGTTTGCCTCGATTTCCTGATTCCAGCCTCGCTTCTTGTGTGAAATGTGACTCTTACTCTTGCCAGATGTTGGACCAAGTAAACACATGGCTGAAGGAGAGTGAGAATGAGGACACGTAATCCCGGGGTGCTCCGCTGTGTCCCTCAAGTTCAGGCGTGGGTGCTCCCCGAGTCACTATTCCTGGGTGTGTCCCTTTGGCCCCGAGAGCTGTTAGTCACTGGGAACAACGTGATCTCTTCCAGTAGTTGGCCCTGTGGATGCAAAGGAGAAGGAGCACAGAATGGAGGTGCTTCCAGGGGCCAGCTGATGGCATAAAAGTAGTGTTAAATGAGAGGCTTAGCCACTTGAATGCCACACTGACCAGTTTTGGCATTGAACAAGTCATTTACCTTCATAGGTATCAGCACTTATTTAGTAAAGGATAAGAAGCAAAAGCTTTTGGGTGTTTCTAAAATTTAGCATGCATACCCAATGCCCCCACCCCACCCACCCCATACCAGGGATTGAACTCAGGACCTTGTGCTTGCAAGGCAGTCAGCAGAACCACTAAGCTAAATCCTTGGCTGCATATCCAAATTTCTAATTGTCTTTAAAGTAGTACTGCACAGCTTGCTGTACTAATCCATAACAGGACTGATTTTCATCATATCACAGTGGTACTTCTAGCTGTGTCACCTTACAACTCTCTCCTACCCAGCTTGGGGACCTTTCTGTATTCATCTCTGCCTTTCTGAGGCTAAGAATCCCCTCTCTCCTACTGTTCAGTTTTTAGTTATTCTCTCTCTGCCCTGACTTTTTATCAACTTACACTGTAAGTCCTTTCATTCTTGGAATGTGAGCCCCAATTAGTTCTAGGAAGGGTATTTTATGTAGGTTTCATGATGTTATTATCTTGTGACATTAAATTGAACATCTTTTCTCTGAATACAAGGAATTACTGTATGTTACCACATATTTTGGTTTGAGTATGTGTGTGAGAGAGGTGGGGGAGAAGGAAGTAGGGGAGAAAAAGAGTGGCAGGGAGAGAGGAAAGGAGAAGGGAGGCTGGTGGGTGTGAGACAGTACCCTGAGCCTTGTTTAAACTGCACTGACTTCCTGCTGGAACTGGGTGGAGAGAACTT